TTATTACTTTTATCTGCTCTTCGATAGTCTCCGTTTTATATTATATTTATCGGTTTCTAATATCGCGGAGTGGTCTCGTCCGAGACCACACTGAAAATTTATTTCGAAATTTTGTAATATCGACGAACAAATGTTATTTATTGAATATGATCAATTTTTATTGATATTTATTTTCGGAACGATGTGAGTTTTGTTATTAAAATTATTTATTTTAATTACCTATTTCTTGCTTACTATCCGTGATTAGATATTATTGAACTTAATCTTTCGATTTTCTTATTGTTTTTTTAACGTGTCTTTACACGTTTCCTCTAAATACTTTTACAACAAGTTTCTTTTCAAGATCCATCGAGGATCCTTGTTATGAAATTATATTATTTTCATTTACACGTATTGTATAAAAGTATTATAAATCTTTTTTCCATAAAACTTAAACTAAATTTTGAGAGATTATTAAGAAGAAATTGTCTTAAAATATTTTTAAACAGTAGCGTATTCTCCAGCAACGGATCCATCTTTGATGATAAATTTCTCTCTAAGGATGCTCGTCCAGATGCTCGAGGGAATTGCGTTGGAGCTAGCCAACTCGAACTCGAAATTAACGAAACGTTAACCGAAAGGTGGGTGTATAAAACGCTCGTCGAAGTGTTCGTAAAACGTTTTCGAGATAAATCTTCTCGGACGTTCCTCGACCGTGTTTCACCGAGTTCCAGTTATCGGGGAAACGTTAACCGATATCAAAAAATTGATAGCGACGAGCCCTCGTTAAACGTCGAGAATTATACGAGCTCCCTCCCTCGTAAATCCTCGTGACGTCCTTTGCCCTCTAACACGCCGAAATAACACGCTCGAGACGAAACTATGCTTCGTGCGCCATCTTGCGCCATGAAATTTTGCGCCTTATTGTCTATCTCTATCTTCTTTCTTCTCTCTCTCTTTATATACACGTGTCTCGAAATGACGATTTCTTATCTCGATGATTTGAAATTTAACAAGAAATTTCACAAAAATATATGCACTCAATTGCATCGTTTATTAATTAATTAAAATAAGATCGAAAAGAAATTTTGTGCCTTATTGTCTATCTCTCTATCTCCTTTCTTCCCTTTCTCTTTATATACAGTATACATGTGTCGCGAAAGAAATGACGATTTCTTATCTCGACGATGTGAAATTTAGCAAGAAATTTCACAAAAATATATCCAATTGCATCATTCATTAGTTAATTATAATTAGAATAAGATCAAAAGGAAATTTTTCATTTTATTGTTTATCTCTCTATCTTCTTTCTTTTCTCTCTTTATATACATGTGTCCCGAAATGACGATTTCTTATCTCGATGACTTGAAATTTAACAAGAAATTTCAGAAAAATATATATCTAATTGCATCATTCATTAGTTAATTTTATTATTAGAATAAGATCGAAATTTTGCGCCTTATTGTCTATCTCTCTATCTTCTTTCTTTTCTCTCTTTATATACATGTGTCCCGAAATGACGATTTCTTATCTCGATGACTTGAAATTTAACAAGAAATTTCACAAAAATATATATCTAATTGCATCATTCATTGATTAATTTTATTATTAGAATAAGATCGAAATTTTGCGCCTATCTCTATAAATTTGTCTATCTCTATCTTCTTTCTTCCCTTTCTCTTTATATACAGTATATATATATATATATTGAAAAGAATGACGATTTCTTATCTCGACGACGTGAAATTTAGCAAGAAATTTCACAAAAATATATGCACAATTGCATCATTATTAGAATAAGATTCTTTCTTTCTTTTCTCTTTATATACATATCGCGAAAGAAATAATTTCTTATCTCGACGACATGAAATTTAACAAGAAATTTCACAAAAATATATATCTAATTGCATCATTCATTGATTAATTATTATTAGAATAAAATCGAAAAGAAATTTTGCACTTTATTGTCTATCTCTCTATCTCCTTTCTTCCCTTTCTCTTTATACAGTATACATATGTTGCGAAAGGAATAATTTCTTATGTCGACGACGAGAAATTTAGCAACAAAAATATATCCAATTGCATCATTCATTGGTTAATTATTATTAGAATAAGATCGAAAGGAAATTTTGCACCTTAATATCTATCTCTCTATTGTTCTCTCTATCTTCTTTCTTCCTTTTCTCTTTATATACATGTGTTGCGAAAGAAATAATTTCTTATCTCGACGACGTGAAATTTAGCAAGAAATTTCACAAAAATATATGCGCCCAATTGCATCGTTCATCGGTTAATTATTATTAGAATAAGATCGAAAGGAAGAAGTGAGTGGTTGAAGGGAAAGGAACACGCGAAAATTTGTAGGTTATTAGGGTCTAGAGATTATCGAATGTTACGAGTGGGTGGTGCGCGCGCGTTACGTAATGTATTTTTGAGAAGGGTCGTTTAAGGCGAGGGATGCACACGTTCCAACGTGTCTCCTCTGTCTGTTGGGATTTCATCGACCAATCGGTGTTGGGGTGGAGCTCGAGCCACGGCGTCAGCACCTCTTCTCTCGTCGCGAAGGCCTTCCTCTGTTTCACCTACATTCGCGCCTCTTGTCTCTACCCCTTTTACCCGCTCTATATACACGGTTCACAAGCTTTTCCAAGGCCCTTGTCGACTGGCCACTGCCGATCCAAAAATCATCCTTCGATCCGCAACCCTTCCTAATTTTCTTCCTACCCTCTTCTGCTCTGATTAATCGAGTGGGTGATAATGATAATTGTACTTCAATTTTTTCTTTTCTGATTTCAGATCCGCCTCTGAACGGCACCCAATTGGAACATCAACATCTCGTTCCTAAATCCACCAGCGAATGTAAGTAGATTCAAGCAGATCTTTGCTGTTCGATTTATATTTTATGAACGAGAAAAAAATTTTAAAATTTGTCTTTTATCGAAGATAAAATGTATTTCTATTTTTATAATTGAATCACTATGATATAAAAATTTTAAGAGGCTTTTTCTCATAAACGAAGGTTTTAACCTTCTCTTATTTATTTAATCTAAAGATTAAAAGACACTGTGATTTGTGATAAATTTTCAATTTTATCACGCCGTTAAAACGTGGATTGATATAAATATTTACGAGAAATATGTGGACGCAGCATGAAACGCGCGAGTATGGAAATTTTCCGCGGGAGCAGTAACAGTTTTCCAAGCTAAAAACTCTTTGAAACGGGATCCAAACCCTTTCTGAACCTTCTGAGAAAGAATCGAATAAACGTTTCGCCCCGTTTACTCGAAAAGGTGTTGTCATCTTTGTCGACCATTCCGTCTATTTTCTCTCCAAACTTTCCCTCGAAAACCGGTGTAAAATTATCTAATATACACGTTGGTCGACGTCTGACGCCCACTGCGTGGGCGGAGGATTTCCACGCGACCTTTTTATCATTACGTCAGGCGGTGGATGAGCACCGTGGAGAAAGCCTGCTCGCGAACTTTCTCGTTTTTCCACCTTTTTCTTTCGCGCCTTATTGTCGCGACGAGTTAAAAAGAAACTCCTCCGGCTGCACGAAGAGCAACGAGAGGCCGATCGATGAAAGAACAGAGGAATTCGTTATCGTGTCATCCACCCTCTTTCGGAAGAATCACATCTCCTTTCATTCCTATATGCTATACCCATTTCTCTTTGTGCAACGACGTCCAATGGACCCATTCGAAACAACAATTTCCATTGATGAAATTATTCGATTATAACACATTTTGCCCAGCTTTTTAAATCAGAATCCTCGAAAATAAAATAAAATATTCATCTTTATTTATTCTCCCAATAATTCGAATCCAATATTCGATCTCCTCTTCGATTATTTCCAGACAAAAAGCACAAGTTTATTGCATCTGATTATCAACCTTCACACGTTGACGTTAAAATTCCTCTTCGAAAAGAACCCTGTTTATCTCCACTATCTCGAAGGTCACTCGCAGCCCCGTATCGGAAATGAAACGAGATCTTTTTTTTTTCCAAATCCCTTTGTCCCAAAACGTTCTTCGAATCGAGAAAGGAAGAGGGCTCACTTGTTTTACAGGGATGGTTTTTCGTGAGAAAAGATCCGCCACGGTGGTTGGAAAGGTTAAGAACGAGACGCATCCGACTTCCGGGTTGCAGCCGCCTCTGACCCGAATCGACGATTGTCCCTCGCTCGCGATAAATTTGCGGATTATATGGGGGCGGTGTTCGTCCAAGGGGCGGCCGAGGAGGGAATGTCTCCTCGACCTAGTTCATCCGCGCCTCGTGGATTATACGCACCCGATATTCGCAACATTTGTTGGGCTATGCCTAAATCGATTGGATTTAGATGCCGATAGAATTGAGCAAATTGAGCCTCTCGAAATTCAGGCTTTCCCTTTTGATTTCCTTTTGGTTTGGTGTAATCAGGTGGTTTGGCGGAGTTAAAGATTCGAATTCGGAAAAGTCCAAATTTTCTTTTCGATTTCATTCGGTATAATTGGGTGATGGTGAGTTAAAGATTCGAGAATTACGATTGGAATTCACATTTTTTGGTTTTATTTATGAAATATTATTACTAGAGTAGAGAATCTGTGCACTGTATTAAAAGTAGTTTTATGGAAGATAATATTTGAAGTATTTTTCCAATAAATTTTATTTCTCGTGTATCGTGCTCATATCGTGGAATTTTTGGTTATTTGGATGGAGAATAATTATTGGATTGAGAGAGAGAGAGAGATTTTTTTTTAATTAAAATTTTTCTGATAGAAAGGGAGGGAAAAGTAATTACGGTCGATTAGAGAGTTCTAGTTGATGAAAAAATAATTGTTTCAAATAGAAACTACAATGTAATAATATATTTTGTAACAATAATTTTTTATTCAAAATTGTTTTCCTCTCCCAAAAAATTCAATTATTATCATATTGATTATAGCTTTTTTGTTTTGATGGATAAAATAATAGAATGCGAAATGAAATAAAAAGGATGCAATAATATATCAGTTTTGAAAATTGAAAATTTATTATTTAAAACCTTATTCCATTATGCGTGTAAAATAATATTTCATACATCTTTAAATGATTACGTTTTAATCATTTCTCGAGTTGTTTATTTTTCAAATATTAACCGACTACTTTTCAGTCAATTTAAGCCAAGCTCGTGAATTTTGTTTCCCTGAAAGTTCTACTAAAGTTTCAAACTTCGTGGTAAAGACTAAAGAACAGTATAAATATACATTTTCAAAATAACTTTGATAATCCTTCTAACAAACTTTCTATCAATTAATCCTCAAATATCTATCCACTAAGCGATTTCATCCCAATCTCCTTCGAATCAATGATCAATTTAAAGGTATTTCTAAGGTAATTTGTCATGAAAACCAAAGTTTGTCCAACAAATTCGTCTAAACAGCAATCTACTCACGTATCGTTCAATTGCAGTATTTCGTGTCGCTGGTAATCAATTTACCAGACGCGATATCGATGCTTTTGTTCCTCTTGTCAAATATACTGGTAGCGATGGGAATAAATAACTTTGTGGTAAATGGAATTGAAGTTCAAATTTCTTCAAATTTTTCACGAATATATCGGAAGAAAAATTAATTTACGAGAATATTTGATTTGAAACAAATTGAAAAATTTGGATCCGTTCTTCTCTCTTTAACTTCGTGCAAGTTCGACAACACTCGGATGCAATCGGATTACCACCTTAATAACCGGACTTAGCCTCTCGAGCCGATCGTATCCGATTTTTACCGAGTCGATCCGAAGTCGAATTCCCTGATCAAACTTGCGTACGTGTAGTCTAAACCGAAAGCCGAAACATTTTTCAGAGTCTTTTAAAGTTTCTAAACACACTTATACATTCTAAGAAATATCAAAATGCTTATAAATATATTTTTCAATCTCTTACGAGCAATCGAAGAACCAATCGAATCTCACGAAATAAATATTTCTCGTTGAAAACTTCGCCCCTTTGTCGTTTCATATTGGAAGTTAACTCCATCGCTAATCCTCGCTTTCCATCGCCGTTGAACGCGTAATTATATAAATTACACGAATACTAATTCCCCCTCATTGGCGGGGGTAACGGCATTAAAATAGAAAGCCGGATGAATTATCGATTGGGGAGCAGCGTTGGGGATGTCGAGATTAGTTTCCGGATAACAGTGAAACACGGTTAATACGATAAAACGCGTACAGATTCGATAATTCGCTATAAATAATACGTTAATATCCCTTTAGCTTTTAATTATCATCCTTTCGTTTGTCAAACGTTCGCGATTAATCTCGCCCGAGAAGAGAGAAGGGGTAATCTCTAGGAGGATCCTTCTTCGCTCCTTCGTGTTGCTTAATTATCCGTTAATTAGATTAAACGGTCGCGATTTAGAAGGAAACCTTAATCCCCGTAATATTTCATAATCACGCGAGAGAACCGTTTTCCCTTCGTGAGAGGGAGGGAGAATATCCTCGCGGTTGTAGTGGAGAAAAAAAATTCCGCTTTGTAGCCATTTTCGAAGTTTTTACCGGGTTAAACTCCACGCTCATTTCTTCAAATCTTGAATTTAAAAAAAAAGGTTGTCCCGGATAAGAGGTTTAGAGATAGGTCTAGGACGGATTTAATTTCTTTAATCCAACAGAATTTTCTCTCTGTTCGTGTCACGCGCAGATTTAATCGCGAATGTATTCTTTTTTTAAGTTTTCTTTTTTCCTGTATATATTATAAATTCGCACGAAAGATGTACACACTCACACGATCTCCACTTTCTCGAATCGAAAAGAGAAATAAAAATTTCATTCTCTTTCTCGCGGAAAAAAAGTCTCATCGTTCATTTCTCTCTCGTATTCGCTATATGATCGTAAATACTCATCGTGTAATAATTTATATACGCGTGTGTATAATAGAATTAATAAATAATGCCGCGGTCGTAAATCTGAAGGACGCCGATAAAAATACACCACGTGTTGAAAAATTTGAAGTTCGAAACGATTGATGGATTAAAAATAAATAAGTAAACCAAAGTGAATCAAAATCATACGTAATAATTACGTGCGTGCGTGCAATGTGCCTTGTGTTTCGAAATTTGATTAGGTTAATTCGATAACCGTGGCTTATTTCGCGATACGAAGCCATCGGTGTCGAAGTTTCAGAATCAAACGGGGAGTCACGAATCTGCGGAGTCACGGATATAAACGACTCAGTTTGAACAGGGGAATGCGGAATGCATTCGGTGGAATCCTATCGATTACTTTGGTTTCACTCGTTCGACGAGAACGTCGTCCATCGATCGAACCTTCCAGCTCTCTGGAATCTGAATGATTTTCCATTCCCCCTTTTTTTCCTCCTCGAGGGATTTTCAACAGTTTTCTTCTTCTTCTTCTTTTTCTTTTTCTTTTTTCCGCGTGCGGGCGAGCGCTTGGCTTTTCGATAAAGCGACACGGAAATTTAATAATTGGGCGAGATCGTATGAATAATTGATGAGGACCTGGAGGAAAAATGTCTCCTCGAATGAGCTGCGTTCACCCGAGAACGGGAACGACAGTTTATTAATTGGACAAAGTTGAATAATGGACAATAAAGATTCTGAGAGTTTGAAAGAGTTTCACTTTTTCCCTCTTCTTTCGTTGTTGTGCAGCGAGATGGGGATTCGATAATTGCAAGAAAATGGTTGAATAATGAGATAATGGAGAAAAAGAATTCGTTCGAGAGAGTCGCGTGTGTTCCCTCTTTTGATGATTAAGAAAGGAAATTTAATAATAAAATTCATGTTATATTAAAAAGTGTTACGTGTCTTAGTTATTTATTAATTGAATAAATTATTCATTCTAAAATTATAAATTTACAACTTCGTATTTAACTAAGAAATAAA